CGATATGATCAAAAAATATGGCAAACTATTTAGTAAAGAGCTGGTCATGCAATTGAGTCAAACCCATTCATATGCTCTCAAATTATTAACACAAATGCAATCCCAAAGATTTGGTAAGGAATCGCTTTTCTCTCTTAACTTCACTATTAATGCATTTATTCATTAGTTTCGTGTCATATATTCATGACTTTTCTCATCGATTATTTGCTCGAAGTTTGTCCGAAATAATCAATTCTACACAACTTTATCCATAATGTGAATTAATTTTGCATTTCTTTAACTCTTAACACAACTGTAAACTGTGAACACAATTTCGTAGACATAATAAAACATAAAAAATATTTTTTGCGTTTATTTAGTTATCAAATTCATACTTAAATAGTAACACATTTTTGTAATTATAATAAATTGATTTATATTTAAAACACGTTAAGAATTGACTACAAAACAGGTAATTGTTGTTTACAATAAGGAGTGGTTTTAGATTTTGGTTAAAATAATTTTCTCGTTATCAGTGAGATGTGCGGCAAAATCGTTCAAAAAGGGCAAACTCTTGAATTCGCGCAAAACTCCGTTCAAGTATTCCTCTAAATTCAGTTTTCCTATCTCTTCATTGAGAACATCGTCTTCATTGATGTCGCCGTCGCCTTCAGCCCAACCCTCGTCTATGATTCCGATATCAGTTGAGTTTAACTTCGCCGTCGCCTCTCCCGTCTTGAAGCTATCGGTGAAGCTGCCACTCAGCTCGTCGTCGTCGTCGTCCTCATCGTCTTCGTCGCCGCTCTCCGTCTGAATCTCTTTGGACTCTTCGATGTTCTTGAGTTCAGCCAATAATAGTTTGAGTATTTTGACAGAACACGGAACTGTTGACCACTGGACAGGATTGGCCGCACTCTTGGACCGCGTTTTAATGCCCGGAGAGTTCTCGCCGTTTGTGATCACATCTCCGGGAACTGTGATGTGATTGAGATTAAGGTTAGAGTCTTGCGTTTGGTGTAGTATTGAGTGCTGTAATAGTTTGCAAAGCGCTAGTATTGACACTTTGTTCTCATAACAGCCAAAGAACAGGTGCTGTCTATTCAACCAATTTATTAAAACAAATTCGAGCGCCGATTGAGCGCCAGTCGGCGCCGGCAGTGATGACAGGAAGTCGAGAATTGCCGGCAAATCATAGTATATTAAATGAGCGAAAACTAGTATTAGACTCTGCACTACAGATAACATCTCAGAGATGCTTAGCTTCACTAATACTGCGCGCAATAATAAGTGCGAGTTTTCCCGACCGATGTATTGATTGGCGCGAGTGATCAGAATTGTGATCAAACGGCCCACAAATGTAGAGCACGACTCGTTCTTTCGCGGGTCCAGCAGATGGTGACAGACCTGGCAATCAAAGTCATTCGTTAGGCTCTTATTTAAAAATTATTTAATTTAAAAGTTTATGAATTACTTGTAAAACGAGAGAAATTCCGTTTTGATTGGAGGACTCGATTTTGACGGCAAACACCTGTTCCACAGACTTGACGACATACGCGCGAATACATTCGCCCCCATTCTGGAGGGTCGCCGTGTCGTCCGCGTTGTTCAGCACACAAGCGATGGCTGCGGGAAAAGCCCTTCCCATCAACGCGTCCGACAGCGGGAGCGGAGAATTTCTAACAATTGTGGCCAAAATGTCGAGTGATGTCGGCTGTAATGCCATCACCGACTCTACCATTTGCGAGGGCTGTAGTATAGAGACAAGTGTGGGAACCAGTCGTTGCTGTAGCGGTAAAATACATTTGTCATTCTTGCAGAGCTCTGCCAACACGTCTTGAGCGCAACCAATGAGTAGTGTATCGGAAGAGCACTTGAGAAACGTGGCGATTGCCAGCGGAGAGATCTTGTTCTCAATACTCGCTGTGAACTCCTTGTCTATCGATATAAGAATACAAAGCGTTTCCATCACTACTGATAACACTTCAGTACTGTATCGGATGCCTATTGAGAGCAAGCCGTCAAACATTGGCCCCAAATATGGTTTAATGAGAGCTGTTTTGTTTGAGGACTTGATGTGATCGCAGAAAACAAACGTTGCCTTCGCTGCCGCTATACGAATCACAGGCGACTCAGCCATCAGTCCACTAGTAGTCGACTGAAGGAATGAATCCAAGGACTCGCCGTTCATTATCTCCGCGAATCGAGAGGCCGTCCAAAGGGAGCGTCCGGTGAGGAAAGGCGAGACATTTGTTGGGTTTCTAAAAACTCCGTCTAAAATCACTTTGAATTCGTAAGACAATTGAGAATCGCTTTGAATGGTCTCTATAATAGTGGGAGCAATGGATCCCAGAGCCAGAAGACATGATTCCTGTATTTTCCACCAATTGCTTGCATAAGGCGTCTGTTGTTTCGAGAGTTCAGTCGATTCGTTGTAATGTCTTTTAATTGCGTTAACAAACGATAGTTTAAATTCTTCCAACTTTTTCGACGACAAACTGTCATTGAATTCTTGAGCGATAGATAGGATGAGATCTAAGGCTGAAATGCGAATGGAATAGGAATAAGAGTCGTCGTCTTCGTCTTCGACAAACTGGTCCGGATTGTCGATCCAAGTGGTCGACTGTTCGTCCGTTATCTGCATATAAACGATCACGTAATACAAGAGTTCAGTCATCACCGGTTTGACCAGTTTTCGAAACTTCGGGCTTTCGATCACAACACTAACGAAATCGAAAATAGCGAACACAAGACTCTCGAAGCCGAGCACTTCTCCGTCAGACTCGACCACTTGAGCGAAGGCCTCGTGTTCGCTGTCGTAGTCGTATGAGTTCACGTTCGCGATTGTCTTCACGTAAATGTTGGCAGCAGTGGTCAGACTGTGCCAAACGGGCTCTAAGATCTGTGGCATCCATTTCTGCATTTGTTTTCTACAATTTCTCAACAAAATGGACAACGAATTGATGATGTCTTTCTTGACGCCGAGATCTACTTCAGGACTGCCTTCGGGCAGAACTAACGCACTGACCAACGCTTCCGTGAATTTTGGCAAAACTGGCTCTAAATACAAACGAATGGCATTTTTGTCCAAATCATTCATCTGTGCGATTGTCTCAGCAATGGTGGTGAAGATCTGAACCGCTCGTCCCCTCGTTCTCAACGAGAACTCTTTAGATGAGACAAAGATCTCATACATCTTTGGTAGCAATAATGGAGCGATCGATGGGATCTGGAAGTCCACCACTTCGTGGCTGAGCTCAACAAACACTTTCATCGCACTGTAAACCGCTATCCTATCGCCCGATGATAGGTATGCGATGAGAACGTCACCCAATTGTGGCCACTCTTCGGGCCAATCGTAATGAGCTATCGTAGAGACCGCGTACGCCAACGACGACCGCAACTTCTTGTCGTCAGACATTTGGCTTAGAGTCGAGTTGAGAGACTTGAGTAACAGATCCCGGATTATGGCTTTGATATGGTTGGGCACAACCGGAGGAATGTGTTTAGTGCTGTTCACAGACCAGTGGCTGTCGATGTATTGTCTGAGAAGCACTGTTGACAACTGCCTCACCGGTAGACTAATCGATTCACTCAACGCTATCTCTATTAAGTGAAGTCCAAACTCTGCAACACATCCACAGAAGTGATTGTAAGTGAATGACAGTCAATATGATTAAGACCTATGTATAGGACATACCATCGCTGGTCTCCAAGAGTTTGAGCTGTTGTTCGCCATTAGTTCTGATGTCTTTGTCGGCCGAAGTAATGGCCAACAGATTCTCGTAAAGCACTTCTTTGAGAGTAGTGTTGGACATCGTGTGTGTCTCGAGAGCTG